TCACTATGTTGGGCAGCAACAGAGACACCAGCCTGAAGGAGGCTGCAACAGCAGCCACAACTCTGAATCATCATGGCTCCACGCCTTACCAAGAGCATAATTCAAAACTCATGGTCTTACCGTGCTCTATCAGCACCCTCTCTTTCGCAGGATAGGACACTGCAAAGGAAATAGCACACCAAGCACAGCACCACCCGACCTCCTCCAGAATCCCCGCATCTCTTCAGCTGTGCACGCACAGACGCAGGGCTCTGTTCTGATGGATGTGCTGTTCTCAGTCACTGATGGACAACAGCTGTCTATGCTCATGCACTTAATTGCCTTCAGCACAAGATTCATGAAGTTGTGCCGCAACTTAAGTAGCTTTCTGTAATTGGGACTTAAGGGACTTTTATTTTAGTGAACAGATTAATTTATTTCTGCAAATGCTTCCCAAGCGAACCAGGCAGGCTTGTCACCTCACAGGTCTGATTTTTGAAGAAGGTGCATAGGAGAAAGTAAAAGGCTGCCACCAAAAGTATTCATTCTGCATGAAAAATAACTACAGGAGAGGACATGGATGCTATTCGGTGTTACAGCTGCCATGAGAAGCTGTGGCTATAATGAAGATTACCTGATTTTTTTCCATAATATAAACTCATTTGCTTCTCAGAATTTTTCAAAAGATTAACAAGTTTTTCTATAATAGGTATGTCAGCCTTAGCACAATTTCTATCTCGAGGGTAAAGGAACTTCAGCAAGACCTGGCTAATTGTACGATGGAAAACTAAACCTGGTGTCTTCTTTTTTGATACTGATACAAAAAAAGTTGTGCTTGTTTCACTGAAAATCTCTGTACTCCTTTGCTTTGGAGAAGGTATTGGAGATGAGACTGGGAGGAGCAAAAGAATTGAGTCTACAGCTGGGTTATGCACAGACCATCTAGACAGAAACACAAATGAGTCTGAGCACATTTTAAATGCGGGTGGTGAGTGGTGGAGGGATTGCTGAGGAGAATGCTTCGCAGAAAACTGACCAGCTATTTGTTTTTTGGTTTTTTTTTTAAATGCATCCCTAGGGAATAATCAAAAATTGCATGGGAAACATTACTGTGGAATAATGGAATGGGCATTCCTCCAGGTGTCTGCAATTCAGAACTGCTGGAGCTGCAGGGGAGTATCATCATAGGTCCCCTTTGAAGATGATAGAATCATGGAATCAGTTCAGTTGGAAGGGATCTTTAAAGGTCATCTAGATCAACTTCCCTGCAATGAACAGGGACCCCTACAGCTAGAGCAGGTGCCCAGAGACCCACCCAGCCAAACCTTCAGTGTCTCCAGGGATGGGGCATCCACCACCTCTCTGGACAACCTGTTCCAGTGCCTCACCACTGATGAATGAAAGGTTACTCCTTGCTAAGCTCTTTCCAGCCACTAGGCTGGGTCTCGTTGCCATTTGTTTTTCATCAACATTTCATCAAAATTCAACAAACTTGTAAAACAAACATCATCAAGACAATCAGCTACAAAGCTACACAACTACCAGCTACACAGTCATCATGGCACCATGTGCTTAATCAAATTTTGGAAAAAACATTGCTGAAGCCAAACACCTGCCCTTGAGTCTCTAGTCAACACTTCTGAACACCCACACAAATGTTGGCAGGACAAGGGACATTATGAGACAACAGGATGCTCCAACAATGTGCACCCACAGCCCAGGCAGCCTACTGCAGGCTGCCCACTTTGCTAGCTCACTGAAGACTTTGAACCAAGTGGAAACAGAGTTAGGGACACTTTCTGGTACTCTGGACTGCCCTTTTCTCTGTTCTACTCTTCCCCTGGTTCCTCTGATCAGCTCTAAGAAAGCTGCTCCCTTGCTCAGTTTGAGGGAAAAGGGGTTATTAATTTACAGAGGAGGAGGCAACATAAGTACAATCCATTACAACATCTCAAACATTAAATCCACCCATGCTACTTTGGGCATCAAGCCGTTTCTCAAAGATGACCTTGCTATTGGACAGTGAATTACTTGCTTAACTTAAACAGCACGGAAACAGGAATGGGCACAGGCTGCTCAACAAATTACCTTGGTCTTACTTGTAAGCTTAATACTAGAAGCCCAAATATTTACAAATACGTGGCTTTTCAAATATACAGCTGATATATTGCCAATGTCAAACAACAAGCAGTATGATTTCCAGCTTTTTGTTCCAGCAGAAACTGCCACTGACATTGAGAAACCAGAAGTTACCGTCATGTCAGTAGCATTAAATCCTGGATGGAAGAAATCTTCTGTTTCCAAACTGGGCAGACTGAAGCACAGACTCCAGGCAATCCCTAAGAACCTGCTGTTCCTTGCTCTTCCGTGCTACCTCTGCCAATGGAGGTGCAGAGGGAATATCTAATCCTTGGATATTCAACCGTCTGCATTTTGCTTACAGGTCACAGACATGTAATATCTCCTACGTTCCTGCTGGGAATCCCATCCTTCACACTATTTTCCTGGCATGGCTGTCTGTTCCAGTTAGAGGGAAGCAGGTAGCGCCTGAATGGGCTTGGCAAATCTACTTGGATACTGGAAAAATTTCACCAAGGGAAAAAAGGATCTATGCTCACATATGTAAATCATGGTGTACAGCAGCACCAGATGTCAGAAAATGTTCAAGTAACCAATTCACTTCTTTTAACTAATAAAAAATCAGAGAACAGCCACAGGGATTATTATGGTCAGCACAGTGAGTTGTAGGAGAAGCAGAGTAAGGTATACTGCTGTCAAAAAAGAATAAATTTCCTTCATACTAAATGAGGATGCACTCTCACAAGACTCTTTTAAAAAGAAAATCTCTAGGCTATTGTATGAAAATGCAGCTGTTGATGAAGTCAGGTATTTAAGGGCACTAATTTCTCTGCAACTTTGTGATAAGTGCAGTTCTTTCCCCATTACTTTCTTCTTCTAAAAACAAGACCCAGCTCCAGTGGATGTGTGAACCAGGCACTAAATATAGGCACTATGCATTTATAATCTTTAAAGTATTTAAATACTTTTTGAAAGGCAAACTATTAAAAAAAAATCCTGGTATTCTTTAAATAAATCCTCCTGCACTGAAGTACTGAGGATTTCTCTTGCTCTGCATCTTTTGCACAGCTCTCAAATTCACCTGTAGGATCAGTGCAATTCTAGTCCTGGGGAGGCTGAAGCCCAAGACTTCACCCATGAAAACATAATAGGACACTCAGCAGTAATTCATAAACTCATTGATATGGATATATAGAGGTATTTCTAGTTTGTTAGAATAAATTCCACTATCCATCATCAGCATAGTTATAGCCTACATCCATCATCCACACCTCAGTCACCTTGCTCATTCTCATTCTGCTGATTCAGCTTTAACTTTTATATCACTTGACAGAAATCTTTCAAAAAGGTCACAAAATTGCATTCAGTGAAAGGACAGCAGTTCCAGGTAAGGGATCCTCAGTAACTACTCCTTCTCCAAGTAACTTTGTTGAGTCAAATTAACTACATCCCACAACTATCCGTAGCCTCAGCCTCCAGATTTACACTGGTAATGATCATCAGGCTAGCGGGGAAGAAATTGCAACACAAAACATATCTCCAGCATTACATTTCCTCAGCACACATTTTCTAAGGCCCATACTTTGTGTCACCCATTCTTTGTGTCCCAAAAAGGGGGTCTGGTAGTTCTGACTGTCTGGTCTTTTATCTGAGATTAATGGGATTACAGATAAGGTTGGACAACCAAATGAACACACTCACTGCAATGCTAATGGAACATCTTTCCAGAAGCAACCTAAACCAGAACTTACTGTGATTGGTTTTGTTCCACACTCAAACATCTGCAAAGGCACATGAGTTCTGAAAAAGCATGCTTAGTATTTTCCATGTACATTGCCTGTGTGTTGCCTAGCACCTGTAAGAAATTAAGTCCTCAACTGGTTCTGCTCTTGATCTCTGTTTAGAAAAGATATGACAATGATGAAAAAGAAACATCATTTACCTATACATGTGGGCTGATTTATAATATCCAATTGAATTTTAACATTAAAACAATACTGTGCATTTCATTAAGTGCTATTACAAGCACTTATGTGTGGTTTTGGATTCATAGAGTTAAAAATACTAACATTTTGGAATTGATTTAACCATGCAACACTGAGCTGGGGTTAACTTGCTTTTATACCAGAGCAAAAGACCATTATGTTTGTTTTTTCTTTTTTCTTTGAAACCTTTGACTTTGCATCTTCTATCAATGTACATCATCAACAGCATTAAAAACATTCCTGAAATGAGCAGGTATTAGTCCAAGTGGTAAAAATCCTTCCAGTAGGATATTAGATATAAACACTGTGTGACTCCAAGACGACAAAGTTTTTGTATGCATCCTTATACACACGCAGGATGTATTCCATGTTCTCTTTGTATTCTGTTTACATGCATTCTCTGGAACTATTTGAGTATTTTCAATATTTTTACACAGGGTAATTTGAAGTGTTATACTATTCAGAACTTGCTGTTGGTAGTAAAACTTTCCAAAGAAGTGCTTCTTACAAGACTGACTTGGTAGGTGCTTTGGTTTTCAGCCATGCTGGCAACCACTGAGCAGGACCTTCATAAGCTTGCACTGTCCTTCTCCAGCAGTACAGCCCCATTTCCCTTTGTTGAAAGCTGTAAAAAAAGGTCAGCTGCAGAATTTTCAAAATTCTGTGACTTGAGAGCTGTAGGACTTCATAAATTAGTATCAATCACATGGTGTTTCATATATCCAAGTGTAATCCACATCAGATATCTGGAAAAACTATGATGCATGGCTGTTTCTCTGCATAGTTTACATGTAACAGCTCAAACTTCCTTCGCCAATTTTCAGCCTTTGGTAGTCAGGCCAAGCACAAGAGCTGAGCTCAGCCCATCACAAGCTCCAAAAAAAGAAGTAGCTGTAAAGTTTAGTCCCAAGAACAACTTGCATACATTTCTATTAGTAAAAACAAAAGTAGGCAATAAACATTTTGAAACAGGTCATGTATTTGCATCCATTTATTTCAGCAAGTGTGACAAATGTTGCCACCTCATGGACAGGTGCAGGGTTTGATGTAGCTCAGCAGTCGGAAGGAAAACAGATCACAGAGATGACTCATTGCTGCCCTTTCACATTCTCCTGAGGAGGGAAATGACAGCTTGGCCAGAAGGATGCTTCTGTTGCTTAGATTCACCTGGAACTCCTTCATCTGAGTCCAAATCCAGAAGCAGAAGCCTGGCTACATGTTCACAATTGGAAAAAAAATAATGAGAAAGAGCTACACATGTTCAGGGTATTTGACCATCTCCAATATCAAGGCAAGTGTGTATTTTTCTTTTCAGAAATCCATAGAAGTCAACACACGACGTAGCATGGTCTTATACTATGAAAGAGTCAGAGGCAAGCATTCAGGAACGAAATATCCAAATAACAGGCTATGGGACCCTGAGTCTTCAAGATGGTGAAAAAAACTTTACATTTATGAAGTCAATAATCCTTAAGTGGGCCAATGGATTTCAATACTCTATAAAGGTAACAGCAGCTGGGACACCTCTGCTCGTAAACTGTGGATAAACACAGTTTCATTGTATTCCACCATATATTTCCAAAATCAAAGCTTTGTGCTGTTACAGAACTACATTGACTATTCATTGTTACACCTTGCTTGGACAACCACTACAGGAATACTTTGTCAACTGTTGAACCTCTCCCTTTCTGATGGAACGGCAGCTGTACCACACTTCTCCATAGGACTGACATCGTTACAAAAACCACCACAGTGTGCATCTTAAATTATATTCTTTAAAACAGCATTATAATTAGCACTCTACAGAATTGGATAAGCTTAAAGGAAATTTAAAATGTTCAAGAAAAAAAAAAACTTTCAAGTTCAGGTTAGAATTTCATGAATTAATGAGTTTTTAAAAGCAAGTATCATAAAAATAGATTCGTAGTTAACATTTATGAATGGTCTGAAAAAGGACAGTATGATGATTAATTGGGAGTTCCCAATCACTGTGATCTCCAGATAACAGTGTAACACACTGCCTACGAATGACTGAAGAGAAAGCATTTATACCAGCTTGATTTTAAATATTTTCTTATATTTATTGTATTTCGCTACTCCACTCTCCTAAAATGGTAGCCTCAGGAAAAGCTACTTTGGCAGGCAATTGGAAAGATTCCTGTGGAGAGGAAGTGAAAAGACTGGGCATACAAACAAGGGCTGCTGCCATGTTCAAAGCACTGGGGAGAGTTCATAGAGCAAAATGCAGTCCTAAGTAAATGGGTTTCAGGCAATTTCAGTGTTAAGATAACATCATTAAGAGTAGAACAGATTGTGCTCAAACCCTGCTGTTTATAATTAACACATTGCTTCCAAATACTCCAGGGTCCCCGGTAAATAGTCCTCTGCTCAGATCTACCCAGACCAATCAGAATATTTTCATCAGAATCCATGCTGGGCCAGCACCTGTTTGGACAAATCCAAAAGAGCCAAAATACTCTTCTTTCTGGCCAGCTAAGTAGAGAGATGAACACAGCTTGCCTTAGTCATTGTCACAGTGTCCATATGGCTGTGAAGCTTGTTTTCACAAGAAATCGTACAAGTACTTTATTATGTCGAAGTTCACAGTCCTATAAACAAAAACACAGTACATTGGAGCAAGCATTGTAACAGTGCTAAGACTTCAGCCTGTTTGGAGACATATATGTGAGACACAGCACTATCAAAATCAAGGAATATTTCCAAATAAAGGCCATCAAGATTTAATTTTTAACTTAATCTTTAATTAAGTTCCTTCTTTCTATTTATTCAAATTTTGTTAAGTTTGAAAAAAATAAAGCAGCTTTCTAGCAACAACTGAAAGATTCTTATTCCAGTCATTATGCAGTAAAAATATCTACGTACATTTTCATATGGTAAATATGATATTCCTGTTGGCGATGCAAAGTTGCAGCCTTTTATGCTATTGAATGTTTTGTTCATTTTCCAAACCACCTGTTTTACCATGTACTACATAACTCCTTCATCTCCACTCATTTGCAGTCTGTGTTCTTTCAGTCTTGACACTAGTTGACCCATATTTGTAGCTAAATTTGAAAAATCCGAGAACACTACTCAATAGGGTAGAAGATTTTAATGTATACTTTTATACTTCAATAGCAGGCAGAATGAACAGCAGTAAAATAAAACATATAATTATTTCTTTTTGTCTTCAAACTCATTCTGTCACACAATCTAACACTCAGACTTTGAGATTTACTGCCTGAACAAATAACACAAATTACTGCATATAATGACAAGTATAAAATTAAAAGTTTTTTTTGTTTTTTTTTGTGTTTTTAAGTATTCAACGATTCAAAAATAACTGTTCTCAATGCTAAGTGAGATTAACTGACTGAATGTCTTGTTTTCTAGGCTGCAATCATTTAATATTCTCTACTCACGCACTATTCTGTAACCCACTTTTCAAGAAGTTTTTATAGAACATCATGTTGAGAAGAGAAAAAGTTCAGAAATCCCCATGATACCTAATAAGATATAATGTATTGGAGTCTACCTAATAATCCAATGACAAAACTAAAGGAAATTAAATGCCACTGTTAGATTCATATTACCTTATGTTGCTCAATAAAAATGCTAGTTATAAGGCTTTCCACAGAAACAAATCACATTCTAACAAACACCAACCTTATTAGCTCAATGGAACTCAACCACTGTCATAAGAACAAGATCATTAGAGACTATATTAAAAGCTTCATGACATTCTATGAACATTAAGTGATTCCTACTTCAGCTACAGAAAGATTATAAAGCTGAGTTTGAGACCTGTTTATCAGAAATGAAAAGTTTCTTAAAAAGAAATGCCTAAACTGACTTGAACTGAAAATGTAAATACATAGTAAAAAGTATGGGAATTTATCTCCGAAGGTTGAACGTATGTAATAGAATAGAGAGAGACATGAAGTTCTGCAGTATTAAACAGAAAGACTGTGCATTGGAAGAGGTTATCACACTAAAAGCCACCACAAAGACAATTAAGTTTGCTCCCCTTTTCCAAAAGCAGGTGGGTTTTGGCTTTAAAAAAAAAAAAAAAAAAAAAAAGCAGACTTCATTCTTGCTCTAAATAAATAAATAGATTAATAAATAAAAGCTGAATAGCTTGAATAGGGGTGGGGAGGGGAAGGAGAGGGCACAATTGCCTGTCCTACTCTCCAGCCCTGCAGAAGTAAGTTTGTCCAGCAGCAAGGTTGAGATGCTAACAAGGATGAGGTATTTGAGGATTTTGATGCCTAGTTATTTTAGTGCTACTGTAGTAATGAAATGAAAGAATCAGGAGAGAGTCTACTTACTCAAAGTGTACTGTGGTTGAAATGCCAAAGTAGTTCCTTCTCTGCAATAAATGTAACTTCTACCATTTGTGGTTAAAAACTACAAGCAGCTGCAATGTTAGAGCACAGCTAGCCAGTGATCACACATTCAGCCTTCAGCAAATCTCATCAAGACAAGGGAGAAACCTATTTATTGTGGGTTCAGGAAACTTTTAATCTCACCCATCCTTTTCTTAAGAATATAATAAAGACAGTGGGTTGGAAAAAAACTCAATAATTTGTAACAAAGGAATAATTACAGAAAAAAACTCAACAGAACAGGATTAAAGAACAGTCCAACTTTAAAACGTCAGATCACTTAAATGGACCTATTTGTGCAGCCTATATACACTTCCACATTACTTGGGGGTGGGGAGGGAATTGCCGTCCTCTTCATAACTCGTAGGAAAAATCAGTCAGAATATATGCATGCACATCTGACCTAAAGGCCAGGACAATGTGTTGTGCACTGAGGTTAGAAGTAACAACATCTCTATCAACTTTCTCTGTTAAACATAAGCTGCACAGCCCAAGTTTTGGTCCTGTTTTCTTTCCACCTGTACTGTACGGCAACTCTAATAGAGTCCTTCTATGGATGTTGAAGTTGTAGGCGAAGGGCCATTGTTTCAAGTGTCAGAATTTGAGAAGTACATAGTCAGTACAGAGTTTAAAACCTGGTTTCTGTACTCATGGTAAGAGTCAGAGCAGAAGCAAGAGCATGGGGATGTCTGCACACAGTGATCCATGTTGCTCAACAGATGGTCTGCTGTACTTGGTACCAGTGGGAGCTTTTTCAGGGCATCATTCACATGTGACTTTATTGCTGGGAACAGCAAATTGATGCAGCAAAGCCCTGGAGATGCTAGCAGTTATGGCCCAGCCAGGCCTGAACAAGACGAAGTTTTGCTTCACTGTGCCTGTATGTGGTTCACTGACCGGACTATCAGACATTTCATAGCTCAAGGAAGCAACGTGGGCACTGAGGATAGGGGATACAGTCTGAAACACAGATTCCTCTAAAGTCCCATATTACAGAGGAGAGGTGGCCTTCATAACCTTTTTCTTTTTGCCACATGTCATTCCTGGGCACTGGTCTGGCTACATATTCTTTAACCAAGACCTGCTAATTGAGCTGGCTGCAGCAACATGTGTGAGGTAATACTGTTTGGATTTCATGTCAGTGAGACATCATTTGGATTGTTGCCTATATATTGCATGCAGTTCTGTCTGTAATTTATCACCATCTCTCCTGATGCATCTGGAACTGCTCTCCAATTCCCAGACTGAAGGCTTTGAAAGAACAGGTAATTACTACCTTTGACGTACCTACATTGAATTATTGAATTACTTTGTATTAACTACAGAAGACAGACAATGTGGAAGATTTCTTATAACCTAGGCAGCTTTTATGTAAGTTGTAAAATAACACTTCTGAGAATTAAATATTGGTTTGGACTTAAATACCATAATGTGCCTCTGGTAATAAAGTGGACTGCTGTTTTAGATCAGTATATTCATGGGAAGTCCCTGACTTTCATTAAGCACAAAGACAGTATGTTACTGTGACACACTAAAGCAGTTCTTTGGCCTACTCCTGTCACTGTAAGATAGCTGTTTTTCAAAACAGGATTGAAACTTATCTCAAGTTCAACACCTCCCGTAGATAAGACTCATTCACTCATTCTTCAAAAACATCCACAGATATCCATTCTGATCTGCAGAGAGCTAACATAAAGGCTGGGAAAAATACAGGTTTTAAGTCTCATTCAGACTGGCACATTTAACACCAAGTGTCTCCATAAGGCTCACCGGGCAATAGCTCTGATGAAGTCCAGGGATACGGTACATTTGTATCGGGGTCCATCAAGCTGGTCATTGTTGCCAACCACAGACAACAACTGGAGAGTCACAAGGGAGGTGATCTACAAACAAGAAACATCAGTAATATTAATCATTTTTGCTAACATGAAGAGCAGTGGCAATCTTTTTTTTCCTGTTTGTCATCAGTGCATCTTCCCAAGTTACAATATTCTCATACTTCAGAAAGTTACTCGTGGCTTCTCACCGATTTTCACATAGTCCTGGAACTAGAGAACTCAGGAATGCTTGTACATTTTCTCTATGACATTTTCAGCACAGGCAGTGAGGCATACAAGCTAAATCCTTCCAATCAAAGTTATTCTGGAGTTGCGATCAGAGAGAGGAAGATCTTGGGGGAGAATAACAGGCATGAACTGAACATCTTCCAGATCTCTGCCTGACAGCCAGGACAGACTTTGATTCTCTTTCCTTTATATCTGAAGACCTCCTCATCAATTTTCACACTCAAAAGTTGAATTTTCTTGTTCCAGCTCATACCACATTTTGAAAAGATGGATAGTATCACTCTATTCCAGCTAAAAGAAAGGAATTCAAAGGTCAGAAAGAAAAGGTCTGAAGACCATGTGCCTGAAAGGACAGAAATTTGCCTATAAAAACTCATGCAGTGCCTTGGCAGAGCTGCCGATTATTGTATCAGTACAGCAGTGTACCAGCATATTTGTCACTGTCTTCTTCTTCCCAGGGATGACTGCAGTATCACCGAAGTGCAGTCAAAGGACGTCAGCACTGAATGCAGTCAGGCTGTTCTGCCTCAGGAAAGAATCCTGCAGTGATTCTGCTGCCACCCTACCACCACCCCTGGGAAAGAAACTGGTTAAAGCAAAGAACAAGAAAATATTTCCCTAGCCTTTGCAAAGGATGCTGCTGACAACTCAGTGCAACAAGAATTGGTATCTCAGCACAGCCCTACTTTTCAGAAAACAAACAATCACCACAAAACAAAAGGCTATGACCTGCTTCCGTGTAAAGATAATAATATAGTAAGGAATATGAAGCATGAATGGTATTGAGAAAGAGCATCAATTCAAAGCTTCAAGGAAACATGCTGCTATAAAAGGTAGCAAGTATCAGAATCAATTAAAAAAACCCTAACTCAGTAATAACCCCACTCTTCCACTGGAAGTGAACTTTGTCTTCAAATGTGTGACAGGACTTGCAGGAGGTACAAATTTCCCTCCTGTGGACATGGTATGAAAAAATTACACTTGTGGAGAATAGCAAAAAATATGAGCATCAAGAATGAGGCAATCTTTTATATGAGCTTGTGCTTAACTTTCTTGTATATGGCATTAGGCAACAGTAATTAGGATGTCATCTTTCTGCAAGGTATTTGGAGTCTGGTTAAGGAACACAGGCCTCCCTCTGCTCACCAAGACAAAGACTTAATTCAGCTCAATAAATTACATTAAAGAGAAGCAGATGATTTACAAATTGTTAGTGCTGAAAGCATTTAAGAAAACTGAACTTGCTATAGTGTACATGGTTCAAAACACAGATCATTAATCACTTTGGACTTGTCCTTGAATTGTAACCAATCTCAAACTTGTTACGTGTTTGTTTTCTTAGAATACTCATGAGTTTGAGAGCATATTTTTCTACACTCTTCATCCAACGAAGTCTTTATTTAGCTGTAGTAGTCTGCTGTTGCAATTGCTGTTCTACACCCCAATGCCCCATTACTGCCTAATCACTTCTGCAATATGCACTTGCAGCTGGCCCCATGTTCAGAAATTACCAGTGAAGGAATTGCAGAAGGCTCCTAAAAGCTTCCAATGAGCCCAGCAAAAGTCTAGAGATAGCTTGGAGCTATTGCAGTTTTGTGAGATGCAAAAGTGACTTTGCTGCTGCATTGCAAATGTTCCAGCCATGATTTAAAAGCAAATCATAATTGATTTTTTTCCAACTATCACCAAATGCCACATATGTAACATAAGGTCAGCAGTATAAAATTCCTCACTGAAGGCTGGCACTATAAATCCAAAATAGTGTCAGACTACATGTGAAGTTTCATTAATGTTTCAGACCCAGTATTACCAGACACAGGTTTTTGATCATGTCAGAATTAGTTAGTTAGCAAGCCACATTTAACTCATTTCTTTCAAAAGCCATCCACTTATTTAGCTTAATAAAAATGTCATCGTAGTGAAAGGAATGTCTAAACACTGAGCTCCATAATTGAGACTGCTTAAAAAGGAAGAAGTAGACAGAACTGCTGCTTTCAATTCATGCATGTTTTTAATTAATTCAGGTAGGAAACAGCTCTCTCTCTGAAAAGGCTCAGAACTGACAAAACCAGAGTCCATATCTCAGGGGAGCAGCCCTGGGATCATGTCACCTACGGACAGTCAAAGGTTACATTCTAGAATACCTAACTTGCGAGTCTTCAGAGTAGAATTCAAGCTACAGATGTCTACTCCATACGTGGAGAAAGGCAGAGAAATCAGGAGGACATGCAAGAGCCTCCATGTTGTTCTGTGGGCACCAGCCCAGAGCTCTGTTTGCACAGCTTTCTCAACAAGTTCAGGAAAAATCAAAACCAATGGTTTTATGAGGGTTCTGTCACCCCAAAGCAACAACTTTCTTTTGTTTGCTTGTTTCCTGTTTTATACAAATACAATACAACACTTCCATGGATAGGCCAGCGACAGAACTGGGTGATGCACACTTCTGGCAGTAAGTTGTTTTGTCAGAAGATTCAGTTTTGCTACAAGTGGAATTAAGTCCCTGAAGCATTTTGTGCTCAACCCATCTATCTAGATCTGATTCATAGGAAAGATGACTTTCTTCATCAGTTATTATACCATCTAGGTCACAGAAGGCTTGATTTTCCCTGACACAAGGGATTTGGGCTCCCCTTAGCTGAGCATCTGGCACTAACCTGGGGCATGGGTAACTCTGGAGGTAACCTATTCTTAAATGAAGATATGTCATCATATTTGAAAAAAATAAAAAAGCAGTATCAACCTAATTATACTTCTTAGCACAAAGAAGTGTTCAAAGCTTTTTTTTTTTTTTTTTCCTTAAACACTGTGCATACAGTGGCTGCATTTCATTGTCACAAAAGCTGGAAAAAAACATCTGGCAAGAAGAGCCTAGCAACTAGCCAGAAGAATTGTGTGGGTGACATAAAAGAAGAATATTTACTGAGAATCTTCTGAACAAAGGAAATTACAGTTGGGAGAAGTATTTTAAAGCTATTCATAAAATTAAAGTTATATGTGGCAATAATTTAACACCAGCAAAAGCTAATAAGTAAATGGAATTTTCTACAAGAGGAACAAGAAAATCTAAAGAAAAGTTAACAGAAAGAGAAAAACGAATAGGTGTCATTTTTATGTTCTAAAATAAACCAGGACTGAGCTTTCTTTGGAATGCATTTATGTGAGAAACCTGCTGCTGAAAGCCTGGCTGCAAGGTGGGAATACCCACACATACATGGCCAATTGTTGCTGCAGTGACCCCTCAGAATGCTTCTGAAGATTCGCTGGTCAGAGACAGACAGGGACAAACCTCTGGAAAAAACACAGAGTAAACCACCAGCCATCCTTAAAGGCTGCCTTTTTCCTATCAGCCTGAGCTAACAGACGGCCTTGCATCATTTCCCCACAGAAACAAAGGCAGGCTTTGTTAGCACGCTGCTGCGAGGGGGCAAGAAGAATTCCAGAAGTGAGAGCTGTCCATGGGGAAAGGCCAGGCTCTTCCCATCAACACGGCATGCCTGAAAGCACTGACAGAGGTGCAGAACACAACTGAATTCAGAAAAGTGGTAGAGGCATACGTGGGTTTTGTTTGGTTCTGAACAGCAGAATACCTCAGGAAGAAGTCTGGATAAATCGTGTGGCATCTCTCGAAGTTAATGGTTAAACTAAACTGAGGAAATGATGTTGACTGCTATAAGAGATGCGACTGAAGTATCACCAAGTAGAACACTCTAAACTGGACTAGACAAAATCCTATGAAAAAACACTGCTTTAGGAACAAATCTCAAACTGCCAGAGATGTACTGGATGATCTACAAGGTATTTTTCATCTCTACAGTCTACAATTTCTTATTACCTTGCTGTACTATTAACTGCAACTCTTAAGTCTGGGTTACTTTCTGAAACTGACAGCTTTAACCTATTTTACGATTCTGAACCTCAAACCAGTCAAGGTATTAAGAACTTCCATAATTTAAATTATAATACTCAGACAACAGTACTATATTATTTCACAATCATCAAAATTTATATGCACCTGAGTATTCTGCACCACCATCACCACACAGCTCTCAAAGCACAAATGCAGCTTGTGCACTTGTTCAAACCCCACTGCTGCTTGTAGTTCAACTCAAGCACATGTTAAAGCTGCTGCTGCTCAGTAAGACAGTCTGAAAACCAGATGCTATTTAGAAAGCACCTTTCAATCACCATGACTGCAGAACTAGTCTCCTGGAGCTGAATTCAATGACCCCACTACAAATTACCTGCTCAAAATGGTTTCAATCAAAATTATATCCAGAATATGTTCAGTGTGCCAGCCCTGGTAGGAAAGCCAACAAATGGGAATTTAATGATAGAAATAGCAATTACATATTTTTAAGCCAGCAATTGATCAAAACTGCTCTTATAAAAATTACTAAAAGTAAATCAATATTTTTTCTGAATGCTTACATTTTAACAGACAGTTAAGTACTTTATAAAGTATTTTGTTAAATTTTCCATTGGTAGTTGGTCAAAGTTTCCATTCTCAGTAGCGCCCCAATATTTCTAACTATACCATACCATTCTTGCCTTATTCTTTACCTTGTCAAACTGCTTAAAGCCTTTAAGTGTACAGTTAAAGGTTTGCTGATATATGCTTCAGTTGTTATCTTTTTCTCAACTTAAGTTATTCCTTCTCTTTTTAAACCATCTTCTGAATGTAACCCAAATGTTTCCGGCCAAAGCCAGAGAGATATCTCAGACATAGCTCCAGGGGAGGAACTCTGTTGCCTTCTCATGATAACACACACAGACATTGGTAACTCAACAAGACGCTGCAGTGCATGGCAGATATATTT